TAAGGGGGGAATACATGAAACATGGGGATTTGGGGGAAGGTGGGTTGAGGAGAGTGACATAAAAAATTATTTTCCTAAAAGTATTTTATACTCTCTAACCAAACACTAGAAATATATTTTTCGGAAAAAGTTTTTCACTCATCAACCAAACAAGAAAAAATAAGTGATAAAACTAGGAATATTTTTTAGAACAATATTTTTCTTCATATCAAACTCATCCTTTCCGGAAATATTTTTCTTCATACCAAACACAACCTCGTACTTATAGTTATGAGATTGTTATCCCATATTCAATGTGAGTTAGCTTATACCAAAAATCCAAATTTTTGGTACAAAATTTGTATCAACAACAATAACAACAAAACTTATATCGATATTAATTAATATTCATAATCAAATATGAAATAAATGTAATCCTAAATTTAAAATTATTATAATCCTAATATTTCTTTAAGATTTGTGTCCAAAGCATAGGTGGCTGTTCTTTGTTGCCTCGACCAATCAGTAGTCCGTACGTAAAATTCACTCCTGGTAGTCTTGTAATTTAGTAGCTAAGTAGGTATGGCCCACACCCGAGTCAACTCTGTTCCTGACTCAGTGACTGACTCACCACCCTTCTTCTTCGACCCAACACATCAACACACTCTCTCTCTCTCTCTACACTCTCTATCTCCTTCAAGCTCAACTCCTCTATATCTCTCACAATGTCCATTTTCGTCATTTCACGTTTCGATCCAACGGCTACGCCACCTTCCACGTCCTCGTCTTCTTCTTCTTCCTTTTTCCTTTTCCTTATTGTATAGTAATCTTACTGTGCTCTCGCATAGCACAATATAACCGCCTCTTCTCTTCTCTTCTCTTCTATTTTCCTCTCTAGGGTTCCTCTTTCCTTGTTACAATTTTTGGGTCGCCTCCTTTTCCCTTTCTTCTATTCGCTTCTCTATTTCTTGCTTCTGGGTTTCATCCATTTTCAAGGTAATTTTTCTAATCCAATCTCTAATTTTTTTTCTTTACACCTATCGTATATATGTATTTGGGTGTGTGTCTCTTTGTGTTTAAGAGATGGGTTTTTAATTTTTGATGTTTTATCATATGGGTATTGGGGATTTCTGAATTTTGCATGTTATTTTTGGCTTGATTTTCTAGGGTTTTGAAGGGGAATACTGGTTTAAAAAGTGTGGTAATTTTTATGTTGAATGGTGATCGAAAAGAGCAGCTTTAAGGCATCAAAATTTGATTTTTCCGAGTTTTCTCCTCATAGTAAGGACACTATGTCGAGTGAGGACGAGGAGTTTGAGAGACGAAACGGGGGTGAAGTTGAATCTAATGACGAGGATGATGATGATGATGATTACTTCGATGATTGTGACTCGGGGGCGGGTTCAGATGACTTTGATTTGTTGGAATTAGGCGAGTCTAGGGAGGAGTTTTGTCAAATTGGGGATCAAACATGTAGCATTCCCTTTGAATTGTATGATCTTTCGGGTTTGGGTGATGTGTTGTCGTTAGATGTTTGGAATGAGGTGTTGTCCGAGGAAGAAAGGTTTAATCTTGCTCAGTATCTTCCTGACATGGACCAGGAAACGTTCATGAGAACGTTGAAAGACCTTCTCGCGGGTGATAATTTGCATTTTGGAAGTCCCATTGATAAGCTGTTTAACATGTTGAAGGGCGGGTTATGTGAGCCGAGAGTGGCACTTTATCGCCAAGGATTAATTTTCTTTCAGAAGCGACAGCATTATCACCGCCTCAGAAACCATCAGAATGCAATTGTCAGTAATCTTTGTCAGATAAGAGATGCTTGGCTCAGTTGTCCAGGGTATAGTATTGAGGAGAAGCTTCAAGTGCTGAACATTAAGAAGAACGAGAAGATTCTAATGTATGAGAAGATGGAAGAACTGGGAAGTGATGGATCCGAGAGAGAGGAGTTTAGTGATAATTTGTGGGGCAAAAGAACAAAAGATCGGAATCTTGGGCAGAATATGGGCTGTTATTCTGGATATGGGAAAGGGTCAGCCTTGGATTCATCTTCTCTTAGGCAAATGGCTTCTTCCGAAGCTACCAGATACAGAAAGCAGAACCTAAGAGGGACATTCAAGGTAGGTGGAAATGGCTCAAAAGGAATGGAACTCAAATCATCTGGGCCATATGATTCTGCCTTGCCTCTTTCTCGTCGTGCTAAAGGAATGGGCTATGATTCTGGGATGGCTGTCCCAATGAGAGATCAATTGAATGGCTACGATGAGGAGGATGGGATGTATGAAGTGGACGTGCAGAGAGAGAGAAACTTTTCACGAGCAGGGGCTGTTGATAAAAGTGGGAGTGTCAAATCGGGGAAGAAGCATGAAAGGGTTAGAATGGAAGAATGTGCTGATGTTTTCTTGGGCGTGCCTATGCCTTTGAAGAATGATCCTTATGCCTACGGCAGGAACAATACTGTCAACCAGCTGTCAGATATTAAGGTCTTGACTGCAAAGCCCAGCAATGCTAGAACTGCATATGATTTTGGGAAAAAGGACAGGTATGCTGATGGTCTCCCACAGTTTGGCTCTGAAGAGCAGATGAATAATTATGGGAAAATCCGTATTCCCAAAGTGTCACTGAAGGGAAGTGGAATGGAATTAGCGGGTGGAAGTGAACAGTTTTGGCCAAGTAAAGCACCAGAGGACACCTATTTTACCAACCCATCCCATAAGTTTGGTAACTTGAATGTAAAAAGCAAAAAGTGGAAGGTGGATCAAGAATATCCTGATCGCAAGTTCAACGATAAGTTGTTTCAGTCAGACTATAGGGCAAAGGCGGCCTTCCCTGAGAAAGTCAGGGCAAAAATGCAGAATGGCGGACAAGATGCTTCCGGAACCAGAGGTAGAAGGGTATTTGCGAATATTGAAGAAACTGAAACTGAATCATCAGAAAAAAGTGATGAGGATGAGGAATATAATCCATTGATGAGGAGCAAGTGGGCATATCCCAGTGGTTCCCCTAACTTGATGTCCGCATTGGATACTAAAAAGGCTAAATTTTCTCAAAAGGATAAGTATTGTATTCCGGCTCGTGATAGCTCATTTCATTCCTCTAGGATGGTGAATGACTCCGGTGAACTTCTCCACTCGAAGAAAACTGGAAGTCTTGGCTTGGGAGCAGAGCCAATGGGTAAGATGCATGATCTTGGTCATTTGAATAGTTTCTCCACCAGAAATTTGGCTAGAAATCATTTCTCTGGTCTAAGCCAGTTCAATAACAACAATGACGATGGTGATGACGACGAGCAACCAATCTACAAGCTAGCCAAGAATGGCCCTTTGCAAGGGGACCATACTGAAAGGTTCCACATGGCATCCACCAGAGAGAAGAAACATAAAGGAAAAGCTAGCCGTGATATCCTGCAGTCAAACTCTATGCAAGATCAGAAGTTTCAGGAGGATGACTCATTGCGGACACGGTTTCCGACTAAAAAAAGTGGAGTAACTGCCAAGTTTTCAAAGAAAGGTCAGATGCTTGACACACGTGCTGGTGATCATCATGAAAAATCTAATGTGCTATTAACAGGTTGCAATTCAGTCATGAAGAAGCGGAAAGTCAAAACTGATACCCCATACATGGATGAGCTAGATGGTACTGACCATCTCTATGCTGAAATCCAGCAGCGACAAGATGATTTGTCAACGAAGCGGGGTAAAAAAAAGCTGGAGGATGAATCGTGGCCTTCTTTAATGGGAGTTCCCAGATCTCCAACTTCAGAAATGATAGAAGATGTAGATGTGGAAAGCCGACCTCCAAAAAAGCCATTCCCTTTGATTACCCCTACAGTTCATACTGGCTTCTCATTCTCCATCATTCATCTTCTCTCAGCAGTTCGTATGGCAATGATTACTTTGCTTCCAGAAGAGGCTGTAGATAGAAATGCTGGAAGACAGGATGCCGTGGAGGAGCATGGTATCAAGCCAGAAGCTGTTAACGGAGTTACACCACCTTCAGAGTTAGATGGTGACAATTCACCACCTTCCACTCAAGCAAATGTGCCCTCTCTCAGTGTGCAGGAAATTGTTAACCGTGTGAGATCAAACCCGGGTGACCCCTGTATTCTTGAGACTCAAGAACCTCTCCATGATTTGGTCAGAGGAGTACTCAAAATATTTTCTTCCAAAACAGCACCACTAGGAGCAAAAGGATGGAAGCCACTTGTGGTCTATGAAAAAGCCACCAAAAGTTGGTCCTGGATTGGTCCAGTGAGTCCCGACTCATCTGATCATGAGCCTATGGAGGAAGTCACATCTCCAGAAGCGTGGGGTCTTCCCCACAAAATGCTTGTGAAGTTAGTTGATTCTTTTGCTAATTGGCTGAAAAATGGTCAGGAGACGCTACGGCAGATAGGAAGTCTTCCTGACCCTCCGTTGTCGTTGATGCAATATAATTTAGATGAGAAGGAACGGTTCAGGGACTTGCGAGCTCAGAAGAGTCTGAGTACCATTGGCCCAAGCTCCGAAGAAGTCAGAGAGTATTTCCGTAAAGAGGAATTCCTTAGGTATTCAATTCCTGACAGGGCCTTCTCCTACACTGCTATTGATGGGAAAAAATCAATAGTTGCTCCTCTGAGAAGATGCGGTGGCAAGCCAACTTCAAAAGCCCGTGATCACTTTATGCTTAAAAAGGATCGTCCTGCCCATGTCACGATTCTCTGTCTTGTGCGAGATGCAGCTGCTAGGTTGCCTGGCAGTACAGGGACTAGAGCAGATGTTTGCACTTTAATCAGAGACTCACAGTATATCGTGGAGGAGGTATCTGATGCTCAAGTCAATCAAGTTGTTAGTGGTGCATTGGACCGTTTGCATTATGAACGTGATCCTTGTGTACAGTTTGATAATGAGAAGAAGCTCTGGGTTTACTTACATAGAGATAGAGAAGAAGAAGATTTTGAGGATGATGGTACTTCATCTACAAAGAAATGGAAGAGGCAAAAGAAAGAAGCTCCCGAACCCTCTGACCAAGTAGCAGTAACCATCGCTTATCATGGCACAGGGGAACAAAACGGTTTTGATTTGAGCTCAGATCTCAATGTTGAGGCGTCAAACATGGATGAAGATCGAACAGACCTTGCTTATGAGGATGTTAAGGATCAAGTGGAGGAAAACATTAAGAGCATCCATGTGTTAGGACAAGGTGCTACGCATTGTAGTTCTTCTCTGATGGATTGGGATACTCTTTGCTCAACTCCTGGAGAAGGAAATAGGTTGTTATGTCAACAGAACTCTACTGATAATTTTGATGATGAAACGTGTGGTGGAGAACCACCTGGTTGATTGTGGAAAGAGCTCTGTCACAAGCTTCCAGGTACTTTGATCCGTTCACATTTTGTACGTGTTACTACTTTTTACAATGGATTCAATTTCCTTTTCTACCTCCAATCCACTCTGAACTATAAACTTGTATTTAAGGTTCATTATGTTATGCAACTTATTTAAACTTTTAATTTGGTTGATTGGTATATTTGACTGTACTTTGAAATTTTGAACTTGTTTGATTGTAGTTCGACTTGTAATTATCTGATTTGGAATTCTGTGTCACATTTACATTTTTATGGGGGAATTTTTTAAGTGAAGCATGCATATTTGCTGAATTATAGGTAAAATATTAACCGCGAGTATTTTGATGGTAATTGCACTTTAATCTTGTTGGTTGAAACACAAGGTTTGTCAGTTTCATTGCAATATACAAAAAGCTTAACAAAGTTTTGGACTTGAGGCTCTAGCTTAAAACTAGCAACTTGACCTGGTCTCTCGTCATGTTTTTAGTCTCTTGCTGTTTCTGTCTTGAGAAGTTTTGTTAGACAAATAGTGCTCTCTTTATTTATAAATGGTGAACGTAGGCCAGAAAGTTATACATTTGGATTTCCCTTTTATGAGTGTGATTCAGGCTTCGATTGAATGTTTTGGTTGATATTCCACCTTCGGGGCGGAGTGTTGGAATTGTACTGCGTGTTCTCCTTAACCTACTGTTGAATTGGTCTTTGCTGCAGAAAAGCCTTATATATTCCCCACCTGAAGACAGGAGATGTCGATCATCAGATGGCTCTAACAAAACATACTGTCCGTTATGCTCATTGAACTTCATCCACTTCCAACAGTTCCAGTTTTTTGGCCACGCTAAGGGTGTATTTTTGCAATGGCGGTTCAGTTGTAGATTCATTCTAGTTAAAACAGGAAAAAATTGGGAGCCTATGATATGTAGACTGCAGGTGGTAATTGCTTGCTGTTGCACAACTTTTCTATCCCATAATGTCTTGTCTTCGCTGTCCCTTTTTCATCTGTTCTTTTTTCCAGTATATATTTAGATGGCATATTCATATGAAACCAGAATGCAGAAGCAACCACTGTTCTGAATTGAGAAGCAGCAGATTCCATGTGTTATACCCCTCTTATGTACATACATCTAGATGAGGTAAATGAAAATAAGTCGGTTTCCTACAACTGCATTCATACTTACATCTTCTGTCCTTTTCTATGTTATGTGATTGGAACAGTCTTCTGTTTAACGATGTTAATGAAAGAGGGAGATTGTTACATCAATACAATTTCAAGAACAAAATTCCTATAATTAAAGAAAACAAATTCATACTATCAATCAGTGCACTTCCTAATCAGGGGAAGCCTTTAGCAATTGTAATTTGAATAATCGTAATTTGCCCAGACGTCTCAATGAACTTAATCCCAAAACTTGTCTTCTAAGTTGATCATCTGTGTTAGAGTCAAAAGGCATTTCAGTATATATGTATCGTTTACTAATGTTTCCGTACTGAGAAAAGTTACAAATGAAATTTATCAACTCTATCAACGTCGCATCCACAGACACTTCAAATTTAAGCGCAAACATTACATATTTCCATCTTGTCTCAGGAACTCCAACTCTGTTAACTACAAGAATTTCAAAGAATTGAAACTCTTCCAAACCAATACCAAAATTAAGTAAAAAGAATAGGGATAAAATTATATCCACTACGTATAGGTGAGTATATGGATATCCAAGGACATATATATTATGTACAACTTTTCTCCTTAATTCCTATAATGTCTAAAGTCTGAACTCTTCTAATTTAGAGCAGTGAGGGCAACTCTTGAATCTCGTAAAGGAGCTACCTCTGCAGTATGCTTTACATCTCCATTTGCTTGCTTTGAGGATTTTCCATCCCAAAATGAATTCAACAACTCCTCAAAAGCAGGAGTTTTTAGTTCTTCAATAGATTCAACACTTGGAAGATTAAATGGTCTTTTCGTCGGGGTCGAGCATGATGGTTCATCAACCTATATAGTTAGAAGCAATTTGATATAGACTTAGAATAGGGTCCTCTTTAACGAACTAAACGTAATTTTGATGCAATGTCCTTACCACGTATTCTTGTGAAAGACATTTTCCAGTATATTCTGTAATCTCAACAACCTTGTGGTAGTGTCCGCTATTTAGTTCTCTCAACTCACCACAACAAGGAACAATGGTTGAATCAAGGTTTGCACAAGCATCACGGTCGAGTTGTAAAGAATCTGCACATGTTAATCAAGTTAATTGAAAGGCAAAAGTTAATTCATAACGTCTAAATCTTGATAGCTTACGGTCAATAGATGAGAGTAGGTGTTTGCTAGCAGCATCAGTGTCTTCAAGTGTGGATGACACGCCAGATGAAAATCTCATACGCAATGCTTGATTTGCATCCATTCCTCCCCTAAAAGAAACGTGCACAGTCCAAGTAAGACATCACAACTAAGAAACTGAACACTTGAACAGTCATTTAGTCAACTAACCTAACAATTTCATCAACAAAAGTAACATTTCTCTCCTCTAGGTTCAATAAAGACTGTTGAGCATTTGTCCATTGCTTTGCTCCCAATTTAGCCTTTTCCACACTGCACATTCATATTCCGGGTTAGCAGAAAGAATGATAAAAAGATTTATAGACATCAAAGAACAGTGTCAGTTCAAAGACATTATGGAATATATGCTGAGTTTTATACCAATTCTGTAGGACCTCCTCCATTTCTTTCTTCCCATTTTCCACAGCAGCAGTATCCTCAAGATAGTGCAATTCAGCCTTTTCCATGTAATTGGACCATTCGACTTTAACTGAAGAAGTTGAATCTTGCATGGTTGACATCTCTTGTTTTAGTCTGTTGGTTTTGTTGGAGGCACTTTCTCTAAGGTCATCAATTGCGGTTTGAACCTAGAACAGATAGCCATACAAAATTCAATTAGCTATTGCAACCTAAAGTAGATCAGAGTCAATTAATGATTGTGATTCAGGATGCAGAATTTTCTGCTCAATAATGTAATAAGTCAATTATTGACTAATGAGCATCGACTACAAGCAATTAAGCACATACTCAAGCATAAAACTAGATAAGGGAAAAGGAAGCAAGCTGTCTACAACACCTGCAAGACTTCTCATGAAGATATTGTGTCATCATCTTGCTCAAGATTAGAGTTTTGTGCAATCTTAGCCATACCAAAAATTGCGATGCACATATTTATTATTAATATATGACCTACCAGCTTTTTCTTCCTAGCATTTGATCCAGCAAGCAGTTCTGCCACTTTCTCTAAGATCTGCCTTTCCTCATTGGCAGCACATTCCTAGAAATGAGAGATCCGCAATAAAATGAGGTTAAAAAATGCATATTGACCTTTGTTTAATAAATAGCCATATGCTGGTGGATGAAGTCGCTTACCTCAAACTTATTTTCTAGTTCAGAGAATTTCTGGTCACTGACTGTCTGTGCTTCTTCCACTATTTCACCCAACTGGGACACATGCATATCTAAAGTCTTAAAGAAGTTCCCAGTAATCTGAGAAATGGACCTTGACATTGAGATACTCCCGCAGTGTGCCTGTAAAGGCATCCAAAATTTATAAGCTCTACTCAAGAAGGAAAAAGAAAGATCCAAAATAGAATCAGTGAAGATTATACGTGCTTCACAAATAGTCAACTATTGATACCTCACGTTGTTGTTGTGCAAATGCAATTAGTTTCTCCTCCTGATTGTGCAAACTTTTTTGAAGATCATTAACCAAGGTATCAGCTTCAGAAGCAATCTCCTTAAAAAGCTACATCAGGAAAAAGGAGATCAGATTAGAAAAATAAGTTCCTCTCTGAATTTCTAAAAGCAACATAAAAGATACACACCTCTCCCAAAGCAGAAGAATGTTTTGAAACTTCACAATTTAAACGGTCAAAGGTTGACTGAGCATTGCCGTCAAGTTCCCCAGCCAAACCATCTAAAGCTTTAATACCAGAACCAAACATAGTTTTCAAGTTCTCTAGACGGGCTCGAAGTTCCTCCACTGCCTGAAAAGCAGACCAGAAAGTAATATTGGTTAATAGGAGTACAATTTCCATCAAAGTATGTAAACCTATTGCAAAATTGATGCACTAGGCTTATTAAGCATGTAATTTTTTTGTGTCAAAATAGCAGGGTCAAATAATAATATATGCTCCCTAATTCAATTTATTATAGTAAATACTGCAACAAATGATATCTGAAAACTACATATTCCCACTTCCTTTTGGTATCATGTCATGCAATTTTTCTAGTATGTCACGTTTACTGTGGTACTTTAAAGGCCAATTCTACATTCGAGTCAGGAATACCTCAGTCTTTGTAGAAACGAAGGACTGCATGTCTTCCTCCATGCCTTTGAGTTGTTGCTCTTGTTGTGTGGTTGAAGAAGCAACAGTCTTATGCAGGACTTCAAGCTCTTGAGTCAATTGGGATTGGAATTTTTGGATGAGAACTCTGTTTCCATCTTCTATTTTGTCTTTTCGCTCTGATATCAATCATTATAAGTATGCAGGAGTTTGATGCAACATTGTTTTCTTAGCAAGAACATTCATCATGTATTTGAGTTTTAGAACAACTGTGTACATACCAATCTTGGCAAACAAATTCGACACGTCTGATGCAGCATTTTCCAGTTCAGCTCGAAGTTCAAATGCTTGCTCAACCAGTGCTTTTTCTGGAAGAAGACATGCAATTCCAGATATTATGCACAACTCTAAAAGTTAAATAATTTTACATAAACACCCACATTCACTTCCTAATGATTATGGCTACATCCAAATTTTGCTAATGTTTAGGAACAAATGTAATATACCCATATACCAATTTTACTTTTTTGAAAATGTTAAAATAATGGAGTTATTTGTATAGATACATTGCTTCCCCAAAGAGATTGACCAGCAAAAAGAATTCTCCTTTCACCCAGCATAGAGGATGAAGCTTACCAGATTTTAGGAGGTTAGATATCAGAAATTCCTTTTCTTTTATAGTGGTAATTGCCTGCCTGTGTTTCTCTTCAAGATCAGCCAATGTATGCTGAGTTTCCTGAAGCTTTTTCTGAAAGACACAAAAGTATAGAAAATTCAATAAGAAAGAGTCAGCAATAAAGATGTGGAATAAGTTGGGGTCAGAATTCCATTAACCTCTGTCTTCTCAAGTTTGTCACCCAATTCCGCTGTCAATAATTGCTGAGAATTGTACAGTTCCTGAAGTTCCAAAAGTTTCTGTTTGCAGAAGGCAATATGGTGATGTGTTATGATTTCTAATTTTTTTTTTTACAAAAGTTATCAATTTTACTTAGAAAACAAGGATGCTCAAGATTTTTCAGCTCTTGCGCACCTTGTCCCTGGATTCGAAGTCAAGTTCCATTCTTTCTATCTTTTCAGACATTGCCTGAGAGAGGATAATGACAAGTTAATCATAGGAGTATTAAAGAAGTATGTAAAGTGAATGCAACCAATCATGGGATCCAGAAAACAGTACTGAACCTTCTTCTCTGCTTCTTCTTGAAGATATCGGTCTCTTGGTATATAAATTCCATTCTTCTCTCTTGCAGCATAAACCTCTGTCGGCATTAAAATAGAACAAACAAAATATGTTATTAAATAATTTATCAATGCAAGATATAGATTTATACATAGAAAGAGAGGAAGATAGAAATATAAAAACCTTGCTTCAGTCGGTCAATCTCAGAGTACAAATCCTTGATCATTGCAGATTTCATCATCTTCTGGTTAATCTGAAATAGCAGCAGAAGAAAAACTGAAGGATACTCGAATCAGAAAGGAAAGGTAAAGAGACATTCTTTAGGTAATAAATGTCCAGAAAACTGACCTCTGGTTTGTTCTTTATATTTTTGGCACGATGAGCATAATCTAAAGTGCTCAGTGTTTCCTCCAGACAGTGAACTGAGGGTGATATTGTTGCAATAATGCATGTCTTCGTTTTCCCTCCCAGCGAATCCCGCAACAACCTTGTCAATTTGCTATCCCTGAAATACAAATGCAATTCTTTCTCAGAATATGTAAGAACTAAAAGCATTCTATAATAACTTAGATCTGGATTAAAGAAGACCTGTATGGGATATGACCAGAGTGCTCAACTAAAGCATTTATAACACGACCAAGTGTAAGCAAACTCTTGTT